ATATATAATTATAATTATAATAATAATTTTCTTAATCTTTCATAAAAATAACGATGCAAAATTTTCTTCATTGCACGTTACGACAAAATTTTATTTTCTTTGAAAATTTCTAAAATCCATCCGACATCTTATCGAATTTGTTTTCTTTTCATTCATTCCGCTCTTTTTAATTTTTTTTTTTTAATTCTTCAAAATTATTCTTAACCATATAGGAACGTCCAAGTCTCGTTCATCGGTTAAAATGAATTCTATTTTTTTTTTCGAATCGATTTGAAATCGTATCTTTCAAAATGAATATACGCGTATTTACGCGTACATACATAGTACATACACATACATAACATACATACTTACATACATACATATATACATACAAGTTTATTATCATCATTCTAGCCAATATCTCGCGTTTTAATAATTAAAAGACGATCGGCATCGCGTTTGAATAAAACGGTAGGTGGTGGAGAAGGGAAGGTGGGGGGTGGGGGAAGAAAAAATAAAACGACATGTATTTTAGGTATGTATAATAATTAATTTTAAACGAAGGAGGAATTCGTGTGCGCATAATGGTTCGGCCGCGATTATTCGGCTTAACTATTATTACTTTTTTTTATAAACAAGACTTGACCCTACTCTTACAATTAGAAGTAGCAGTTGTAGTAATAGTAAGTAATCGTAGTAGTAGTCTTATTAAAATATCGGTGTAAAAATAGGTATGATAAAGGCGGCGGGGGTCGCGTTAACGCGACCAATCAAATCGATCTTTCTTTTCTTTTTCTTTACTTTCTTTCCTTTTTAAATTTCCACGCGCCTGATAAATTATAATATACTTTTCTCTCTCTCTCTCTCTCTCTCTCTCTCTCTTTCTTTCTTTCTTATTTTTTTCTCTATTAATCCATCTGTTTTAATTGTTATTATTTTCTCGTTTGAAATCTGGACCTCGTATTTTCGTAAATCCTACCGGGTGTAAAAATAATAATAAGCCCGGAAATTGTTCCTCTTTCTCGTATTATTCTCATTTCGGTATCTTTGTATTTATGCTTGTATTGTTTGTTTATTTCTATCGACTAGATTAGACAATCTTTCATTAATCGAAAAATTATCCTTTTAATATAGTTTATCGTTTCGTTTGTATTAACATCTTTATTTGGTTTTCTTCGTTCTTATTTCCGTAGAAATTTAAAAATTCCATGATAAAAACTATCTCATAAAATCGTTCCTCCTCAAAAGGATACGAATGTGAGATTATTATTCTTCCTCGTTTCATTTTCCATTTCTTAGTCTTCTTTTTCTTTATTTATTTCATTCTCGTCTTCTTTTGGTCGCTCGAAAAAAACCGTTTTCAACGGTCGGTTGTGTGGCATCGTAAATATATTACCATACTTTCTTGATATTTTCCTTTCTCTTGAAAATTTATGCCACGTTTGATGACGACCCAGGGCGTCAAAATACCCTTTGGTCTCAGGTCACGTCCACCACGAGTCCGTGAACCCGATCATTGGCTGGCTGCTACGTCAACAACTTGAAGAACATCAGGGCTAGGGATATGTTGATAAAAAGCACCAGCATCACCAGCTGTTGCCGGGAGAACCAGTCCTGAAAAAAACAATTTTAATCATTATTAGTTTCATTAATTAACTCGTAGGATTATTTTTTTTACGTATTTTTAATATCTGCATTATATCATTTCGAATATTGAATGGTTAATCAGAATTTTTTGTTTCAGTATTAATTTAATATTTATAATTTAAGTCCTTATATTATTATACAAGTAATTATTGTATATTTGCATATTTGTATATTTGTATATTTGTATTAGATGGTAAATCTAATTTTTACCGATTGCTATTGCCAATGCTAGCAAGTTTTAATGCTAAAGTTTTATGTTTTTTTATAGGTTAGACGATTCTTATAGGGAAAATTTGTCTTTACAGGTTAGATTTTTTGGGTGAAAATTCAACTTATAAGCTTTAAGAATTGTCGAATATATTAAATATTATTTAAATGGTTGTTTCGAGATGCTTGTATGCTATGGGAATCATTTATAAGGATAGGAAATGGCTATCACATATTTTAGAGATAAAAAAACAGTTGCAATTACGTTTATTGCCTAATATATAGATAAGGAAAAATAGAAAGCGAGAGTGAGTGATCAATTATTTTAAGATACAAGTAATTTGACAAATAACAGGAGTAGAAACAATTAGACAACTTACGGGGGAGGGGGAATATTCGAGTATGAGCACTCGTTTTCGAAATAATTTTTGAGAATTTAATTTAAAGAAACATTTTCTAATCTACATTGTTGTTTTCTTGTAGTTATATTAATATGTATTCAAAATAAGATTTCAAATTTTTTCAAAGCATTTTATTGCAAATTGTACATGTTATAAAATGTTACGCAAGTCATGTAACGAAAAATGTTTATTAATAGGCGTACTTTTTACGTCCGTCCTTGGTATACTAAACGAATACATATTTTTTTAAGGTTTCGTTCATAATGAATGTGTTTAACGTTGGGTGGAGGGAAATTAATAAAAGAAAAAAAATTAATAAAGTGGCAGCGCTTAAAATATGGAACTTACAATAAGACTTTTGCGAACAAATGTTCACTTCTTTCAGCTCAAAAAAAATATTAATATTAAAACAATCTAAAAAATAGCCCGTTCAACGATAGTCTGACATGTACTTTACATGTCCATTAAATTGCTAGTACATCAGTTAAGTAGTTTTTGAGAAAAATGCATATCAGGTTTGAAATATGTTGTTTTGAGAAAAACGCGTTTAAGGTTTTACGTGCAGCCGTAGTTTCTATAAAATCGTGTCCGATAAATTTTCGTATTTCGATTATTATAATGAATTTCACTTTGACATATTTAGAATCCATTTTTATAGACTCCAAGCTATAAGAAAATGCAAAAAAAAATCAATTGTTATGGACAGATAGACTAGAATTTCGCCTTATAATAGAATGATAGAAACAACAATACAGGAACGACCATAATCATCGATAAGAAAAGGGTCAAATTGGATTAACATTTGCTAGGTTAATTCGTATATAGTTGATGCCAAAGGTTCTGGTGGATTTTCTTGGATCTCTCTCTTACGACATTTGTAAATTTATAAAAGAACCAGCTATTACATGAAATAACTTGAGATGAATGAAATGTGAGAGATATGAATTCCTACGTTGTCTAAAAATGCTTTGCATTAAGGGAATTGCTAACATTGCCTGATTTCTTACTATTCCGGTAACATTTATAAGAAATGTAATATTAAAAGGTGAATTCTTTTCATAATTGTGATTAATAACACCAACACCTTCATGGTCACGTAATACATAAACGAATCGTTAATGAACAAATATATATATATATATATATATATATTCCTGGATAAAAATATATTTTTCCTATAAGATTTATTGTTCACTAGAGTTTTCTTGCAGATGTTTTGAAACATCCTATATAATGTGGTTTGATGACGATACGATACTATCCTATTAATTCTATTCTTTGAAGATTAGTAATGTTTCTATTGTTTCTACCTGAACAGTTGATTACTGCATTGATACAGAAAGGTAAGCAGACCTTGGTTTTAATATGAGAAGGATACTCTTATTGTTAGTACGACATTCTCTATGACTCATTCATTTTCAAATGAAACATAATATATATTTGTTACCATGAAAGAGAGGACCGAAATTGAAGAATGTCTAGATTCACATGGTGAATGTCAATACATAACAAATACGTCAGTGAAAGACCGAATATTTCGGTTTATTTTTACACATTTATATTTTGGACATAGATTCATCAAACGACAATGTGAATCTTGATATTCTTCAATTTTGATCTTTCATGGTGATATACATATACATATACAGGATGTCCCACATAACTCTAGTCACGATTTTTCAAGTACTTGCGATAACCTGACAAAAAAATACATTAAACAAAAGTTAATCTGTTTTGATTGACTATACAATGCAGTAAAAAAAGCTCTAAAAATTTTTGTTTTTAATGTTTTTTAAGGCTACCTTTATCTTTTTAAATAACACTTATTGTTAGTATTTTTGACTTTACAGTATTATAGTCCATATTAATACGAATTCAACAATATAGTATACTATGGCCTTTGGATGACTTTGAAAACAAAGAAATGAAAATTTCAACAAAAAATTATTTTGCTTGTCGTCGGGGCGAACAAAGGACACAAGTGCTTTTGAAAACAAAAAACTTATTTATGTGTGTAATTTATTGTTACTTATTGCTAAACAAAACACAAACAATACAACAGTGCTGTTTCTGGCTTTTTTGAAATTTACTACGTAAAGTGGATTTATGCCTACAAGAACATGGATTTCAATTCGAACATTTAATGTGATTTTTAAACGAAATCGTTTGCGTTCATATAATCAAGGTTCCTGAATCGAATGTAGTTTTGATTTTTTTCATAATAAATACAAGTTTTGTTCATTAAAGCAGATTGTTCTTTTTTGTTGAATGTTTCATTTTTTTGCTTTCAAGGTCATCTAAGGCCATAGTATATTATATCATTGAATTCATATTAATATGGTTTATCATACTGTAAAGTTAAAAATACTAAGTGTTGTTTAAAAAAATAAAGGTAGCCTTAAAAAACATAAAAAAAACAATGTTTTCGAACTTTTTTTATTGCAATGTATAGTCAATAGAAAACAGATCAACTTTTGTTTAAAGTATTTTTTGTCAGGTTATTGTAAGTACTTGAAAAATTGCGACTAGAGTTATGTGAGACATCCTGTATATTTGTTATTAACGTTTTTTTATAATAAACAATGTTTGTCAAAAATTTTCTTCAAATTGATTCCTATACTCACTGTATATCATAAATAAATATGTAGTACCTATTAGTAAACGTAAAATAAGTTATAATTTCATGCTGTTTAATAGTTTGCGTAATATGAGATATTTCCGAAAGTTCAATGAACTCAATGATAAGTTCAATAAACATTTTTATACTTTATAAATTCTATTCCATTCCTAAGCGTTTCGTGCACGATTTTTTGATATGTCATTGTTAACACCTGAAGTTATCGTTGTTTAAACATTTGTATAAAAATACTCTCGGTTTTTACTTATTGCTTATTACGTAAGAGACTATTTTTTTTTTTTTATTGCGCTATTTTCTGCGAAAGAAAAAAAACTTTAATATTCATACGCAATAGACAATAGACTTTTACGTTTCTTCTTCGTATAAATTAGTATGTGTAATTAATTATTATTACCATTGCTAGACATGTCTTATTGTTACCTACAAATGAGTTCACCTTTTTTCGAATGTGTTCGCACGGTCGAGCCTATATTTGCATTTGTTCGAACGGATATTACGATAACCTTGTAAACGAAATGCCTATAGAACTTTGTAATCATATACGTGATACTCGTTTAAATGTTGAAGTGGTAAAAATATTTAAAAAAAGAAAACAGGAAAAAAACGTCGAACTAAGTAAACATGTCGTAGTAAATTGAAATCCAACTAACGAATCTTGTTATACCATAATTTTACTTGAAAAAACCTGTTATTTTTTTTCTAATTATCAAGAAAAATAATCTGAGATTGGTTAATTAAAGGAAATTCAAATACTGAACACATTAACTACGTATACTCGATTAACAATAATAATCATTAAATTTATTAAAAATATTTTTTTTTCTTTTTTATATATAATCGATCGATTTAACTTTTTAATGGAATTAGATTATTAATTTTTTTTTCTGTATTTTATTCTAGAATCATTTTCACGATTTGGCTAACAAGAGATTTATACCAAATTTATAAAATATAATCAATCGATTCTACTTCAAATGGGATTCAAATACCAGCTAATTCATAATACTTATTAAAAGTATAATCGGTCGAATTAGTTTCTAATAATATTCATATAATAATTAATTCGAATCTAATTCCAGAATAATTCTTAAGGCTTGGCAATAAAAATAGTTATAAATAATTTACAGAATATACAATATCGATCACGACTTAACTTCTAATGAAATTCAAATATGAACTCACATTCTTAAAATGTATATAATTTATACAAAATATAATCAATCAATATTTCTAATGGAATCTTAAATTATCAAGACCTTTCTAAAATTTACATAACTGACGAAAAAATATAATAGATCGATTCTATTTCTAATGAAATCAAAATAAGAATTCATGCCTAAATCTGATTCTAGAATTATTCTCGAGACTTGGCAAGGAAATTAAATCAGATTATGCATAGAGTTGACGTTAATTGACAAAGTGCATCCTTCGACTGGTAAACTTACACACATACCGATTCGATTTCGAATCGAAAGATCACACGTTCTAGAAACCGAACGAACGTTACACTTCCTTTCGTAATGTTGCATCATTTCTATTCTCGATATCTTTCGTTATTGCAACGATTACTTTCATGTTTCACTCTCTTCATTTTTATATTTTATTTTTATTATTTCTTCTATTTTTTTTTAACTATTCAAGGACGCAACATAGCAAATGCGAGTGACATGTTCCAATTGATAATAATTTCTTTTTTACGCACTTACATATATACGTATTATGTAAGATATCTGATTATGTTTGTTTTGATATAGTTCAAATCCCTCACTCCTCTACCCTATAAAGTTTAGCGTCATACATAATTTTGTTCTGTTACATTGGACTATAGTCAGTGATTTCGTATGATGGGATCAATAAAAATCTTTTCAAATCAATTGACGATTCTTTTTTATTACGCATGTACACGTTAATTTGACGTAAGATTTTTCATTACGTTTGTTTTCATAATCCCTACCACTTTATAACGTCATAGACCTCTTTTTTGTGTTTACATTCTAATACGGTTAGTGATTTCGTATTATGAAATCAATAAAAAATTTTTCGAATCAATTGACGATCCTTTTTTATTACGCATGTACACGTATACTTGACGTAAGATTTTTGATTACGTGAGTTGTGATAACTCCCACTACTTTATAACGTTACAGACCCTTTTCTTTTATATGTTGAACTATAGTCAGTAATTCCGTATGATTAGAACGAAAAAACTTTATTATCGCTCGTGTTGATAATAAATATTCTCACTTTCCTTACGGTTTCTTTTTTTCTTTCTTTTACTTTTTCGTATAATAAGACTATAAATTTTGCAGTCGTTCAGATGACTATGAGAAATGTTGTGATAATTGGATAGAAAATGATTTTACTATTCCTTCAATCTTATTTCTTTTTTAAATTAAATTAAGTCACTAAAATAATTTTTTAAGAGTACTCATTTTTATTGAATGTTTTGATTTGTTTATTTTTATGTTTCGCATATCTAAGTATAGTATAAACATGTTTATATCGAAATATTTACTGAAGTAAAAAGTTTCTTCGTATTTTCCCGGTATATGACGTTAGAATCGTATATTTCTTTTACAAATCAATAAATTTATTTAACCCTTTTTTTACCTTTACCACTTTGTGCATAAAACAATAATATTCTATTGGGAAAAAAATTTATTCGTATTTTTTCAATAAATTATTTTAGGAACGTATAATTCTGGTAATATTAATTTAATCTCCTAATACTAAAATAAATTTCATAACTAATTAATTGTACACAGTATCTTAAAAATAGTTTTTATATTTATTTGTTAAGTCAAAAGTTATTGCGTCTTCAAAATGAGTGAAAATAAAGAAGAAATTCCATATATTTTGAAATCTGTTTACAAAAAAAGAAAGAATGCAAGGCAGACTGATAAAAAAATGTGTGATTTTTATTACTGACATGATGCAGTATTAATACGCGTTGTACAAAACTGGTTTAGGCGTTTTCAATTTCGAAATTTTGATGTCAAAGATGAGTTTTGTTCTCGTCGATCAATTGCTAGAAAAATCGGTAAGATTATGAAAAAAATTGGACAAGACCAATACATTTACATTTATGAAATCAGTAAAACAAAACAATTTTAAACACTTCAGAATTAAATTCCGAGCATATTTTTTATTTGACCTAATTGATGATTAAAATATGTATAAGAAGAAAACTGATCTATTTATGATACGAGAACTTTGATGAGTTTTAATTAAAATATAATAGTTAAATAAGTAATCGTAAGACTTTGAGAAAGTTTTCTCTCTCTCTCTCTCTCTCTCAAAGATTCTAAATTATTAATTTATTATATTACTAATATTATATAGTAATATATAAATTATATTTTTTTATTTGAAATTAGACTTGTTAATTATACATATTAATATGTATTTAATATGAATATTGTTTGTAATACCTAGCTGTTATGAATAATGTCAAACAAAATTGAACACTATACTAAATTCCATGTCATCAAGTATAATTTATCATATTGACGGCTCAATAAGTATACTGTTATCATCTGATCGAGTAAAGTGATAATAATGACACCTTTTTGACAACTTTAGATTGGGTTTAGAAGAGAGGGGAAGAAGTATCATCCAATAACGTTGCGTCACGGTGAACACTGTGATTAATATTTATATGACAAGTAGTTAATCTTCTGGCACATTGTAATTTTATTTAATTTATAAGGAAAATTTTTTTATAAGAAACCTTTTTTGTTTTATTGTTTTTTATATATATAAAAATTATATATATAAAATTCAAATTTCTAACTAATCACATTTCTAAGTGATCAATATATTTGATTATTTTCTTACATAAGCAAACTATAATGTTTAAACTGAGAAAAAATTAATAAATGTTAGTAATATTATAATATAAATTAAGAAACTATTAAATTAATAATTATATTAATTTTATCGAAAAATATCAAACAGTGATTTGATTAAAACTTCATTCATTTCGTGTTTTGATGAGTATACTTTTTATCGTTGGATTTTTTTCTACACAAATTTTGGTACACATTTTTTATCTTTTGCAAAAAATACATTTTGGCAATGGAAAGGTGTACTTTTTTTTTTAAAACAAGTTACTCGAAGGAACTCTTATAATATCTATTAATAAATTAATCAATATTTATCAGGTCATCATTCATAATGGCTGGACATTGTAAATAATGACCTATTAGTCATTTGGCCCATACTATATATATACAGCCGTACCTGTCTTGAAAGTTATGCAGTTATGCACCTTGCGAGATGCCAAGAAAGTGAATTAGCATTTCGTTTTAAAAGCGAACCAATGTGCGGAACGATGCCTGAGGATATCTTAATTTTCTTCAAGATCTTATATTAGTATAACGATAAACCTGCAGAAAATTATACCTCAGTATTCGCACTTTCACGATTTCTGATAAATATTCAATTATTAATTGCACGGACATTTTATTCTACCTGTTAACTCGGAAATTAAAAAAAATATATTTTTCCATTTTACGCAAAAAAAAAAATATAAAAAAATAAATGTCGTTTATTTTTTAAACAGAAGTTCTACATATTATCTAGAAAATTCCAAAGAATTATGTTCATATGAGTTGCTTAAAAGCCAATGCGGTAAAGTTCAGAAAATATAAATTGAACATATTAATGTTGTTTAATAAAGTGGTTTTTTAAATTTTTGGTTTCTTTCTTTACTTGATCAAAAAGTCTTATAAAGTTATTTTTTCAAAGGGTACGCTTTGCAACATAAAAAGTTATATGCATATAAATGTAAGTATTTATTGGAACAATGGCAGTATCTTAAAAATTTTAAGACTTTCACCTTTTGTCAGTTGAAAATGCATAGAAAAAAAACGAAGTAACAAGTAATAACCTTTATTAATTAAACAATGAATATTATTGATATTGATAAAATTTAGAAAAAAAAACAAAATATCAAAAAAATTGACTTAACCCCATTGGCTTTTGAGCAATTCATATAAAATTTGTACATATTTTTTACAAATATTCAAAACATAATGTTTCAAATATATTGTAAGTTTTACATATATTCTAAAAAATTATTACAAAATGTTTTATAATTTTATAAATTTTGTATATTCTTATCATTTGAAATATATAAAAAGTTTGATTAAAACATAAAAAAATTACATCGAAGTGTTTGTGAAAATTATTAGGTTATCAAAAACATTAAATAATTTTTCTTTTCTTTATTTCGTTTCCTTATTTATTTTTAATGTTTATTTTCTTCTTTTTTTTATTAACCATTATTATCTCTCTATCGTCAATATAATATATAAAAGTTTTTCTTTCGTGAGAATTGTATCTTTTTCTTATGAAACAATTCATTTAAAATTTAGTGTATACCAGTTTTATATTGGTCACGGTAAATTATATACATATATTTTTGAGAGAATGACAATAACTATGCATACATATGTAGACATATATACGTATAGTTAACATTTCTTTTTAGGCAGAAGAAAATGTTTTTTCTTTCGGAATCCCCTCCCCCCCCCCCAACCTCTCCTTAGAATAACTGACACGTACATACACATAGAAAAGATTGAAGATACTTACTTTGACCTGAGGACTGACCAGGTAGAGAAAAGGATTGGCCCTGAGCCTTTCTCTCTCATCGATCTGCCTACGGATTTCTTCTCTCCTCATACTACTTAGAACACTAACTTCTTCCCTCGACAATGGTGCTGTCGCTGTTAATTGAATACCTTGTGCCACATCCGGCAGTGACTTCTTTCGTTGAAGGGTCATCGCTGCAACTGGCATCGCCTGTTGAAAAGGAAAATAAAAAAAAGAAACGAAAAAACAAAAAAAAAAGGTGAATTATAACTTTAATTACAACATACTATTAACAATAAATCTAACTCAATTAGTTGTTTATCACGTTCAAAAATAAAATTATTAATAAATGTATCATAGGGAAGTTGGATAAGGTATTTTTAAGGTTATTTAATATATTTTATAATTGCTGAAGAAGTCCCAATAAAGGGACGAATTGTTCAACAAGATCAAAAAATAACGTTCTGATTTCTTTTTTACCTTGTACAACTTCCCTGTGATACATTTATTAATAAATCTAACAATTAAACGGTATTATTCATTGTAGAATTTCAAAAAGATTAAACTGTATCGTTAATTTTGTTTTTTTGTTGTATATTATTATATTTTGTTTAATTGTTTATTTATATATGTTATAAATGAGGACACTTAAACGTGTTAGAAAAGAAGAACAATTACTATGGTTACAGATTTAATATTATTACTGATCAAAGAATTATAAAAAAACATTTATTTTTAATATTTTGTTTAATTATTTATTTATGTTATTAATGAGAACGTAGATTTTATAAATAAAGTCACCTAAATGTTTAAGAAAAAATGTATAATTATTATGCCTAAAGATTTAGTGCTAAAAGTTTTATCACTGATTGAAGAATTGTAAAAAGAATGTTTATTTTTAATATTTTTTAATTATTTGTTTATATTATAAATGAGACTGTAGATCTCATAAATGAAGATACTTAAACGTGTTAGAAAAAAGAAATGTTCGAGGAAGTTAAAAAGAGGCCATCTGGAACAATTCCAGAATCCAAAGTTGGCCTCTTATAAACGTAACACTGAATGTTCAAGGTCGAGTACTTCGAGCCAGGCTAAAATCATTCCGTTGACCTTCGAAGCCTGTTCCTCTTACTGATTGACAATAGAAATCGTACTTTTTTTTTATATAAAAATGTTAATTATTCGAAAGTAGTTTATTATCCTATATAGTTGATGAGTCATTTTAATTATTAAAAAAATAAAAAATATATTAAAAATAATATTTATATATTATAAACCGTTCGACGATGCTATTTCGTTTTAATCGCCTTAAATTTATTCTAATAAGCATATTAACATTATCTTATAATATATAATAAATCATATTTACATACAATATATATGTAAATTAATTAACGTTCCCGTTCAAGAAATATTTGCAATTTAGAGAGAGTATATAAATTACCACCGGTAATTATGACAGCGTAATGAATGAAAAAAGATTAAAGAAACAAAATCATCATCTTATGATTTACACATTTTTAATATTAACAGTTGAAAGAAAAAAATATAAAAAAAATAAAATAAATCATAAGATGAATTTGATGAAATTCTTTACTCACGATCAGTTCACTGTCATATTACTGGGCATTAGGAAAAATATGTGAATAGAAAAGATAAAATAAGATGAATAATAATAATAATAATATTATAGGATGAACTAAAAATTCGTGCGTTTATTGTGTTACAAATTACATTATTAACTGCATAATGGATTGTTTTTGTAAGATGTACTTAGGAAATATTAACAAGAAAAACACACGAACTTTTGGCTTATCCTAATTATAATAATAATAAATAAAATGTCGTGAGAACGGCGAAGGGACGAAGGGACATGGTCCTTTTCGTACCTCGACAGGGGGCGCAACAATCCAGGACTCGGACGCCCTCCTGGCCATTAAAGCCGGGCTGCAAAGAAGCGCCTCCTCCTCCTCGTCGGGTTCGGACCAAAACATTTTTTTTCCCAACAAAAAATTGTCGTAAAATGAAAAAATAAAAACCAACACCGAGGAATCCTTACACAACTTCCTATAATTACTTCTTTACTTTTTTAAATATTATTTTTGTAGTATCGATTTAACCTCTCATTTTTGTTTCGATCTATTTCAATTTGTATTTATTTAAAATATGTATTTTTTTAAATAATAATATTTCACCGATATTTATATATTACGGGATAATTTTGATATTTATCTTTTCCCTATACACCCCTCCCATCCCAGGTCTTCTCGATGTTAATTATTTCTTTTCTCTTTATTTTTGTAGTATTGTTTTAACTTCTTATATTTTTGTTTCGATTTATTTAATTGTTATTTATTTTAAATTTAAAAAAATTCTTTTGGCGTTTAAATAATTAATAATAATATTTCACCGCGATATTTATTCCGAGACAATTTTATTATTTATCTTTTCCCTACACCAGAGCTCTTCTCGATTTCAAACTTTTTCTTTTTTTTGGTCAAATAATTTTAATCAATCTTTCTATTTAAAAGTTTATCTTATCTCATGGAGATACGACGAAATTCGTTGGGAAACGCGATAAATAAACGATTGGAAAATACGGTTCCACGGGCTCTTGGTTGGGAAGCCAGGCCGCAGACTGATCGGCCCTGGCTCAACGGACCGAAATAGAGCGATGCCCCACTATTTTTGAATCGAAATAACTTCTACGCGTCCGCGTTGCGACGTACGCATCGTTTCTTTTGCTTTAGCTTCGATCCACTATTTTGCCAGCATTTTTCTTTTTTTCCTTATTTCATTTCTTTTTGCTTTTCTCTTTACCTATCGATTAATCGCGAATTTGTTTTTTTTTTTAATTTATATTATTACCTAAAATATATATAAAACTTTAATTTTTTTGGTTTATTTCACAATAAGCATGTTTTCTCTTATTTTCATTATTTTCTGTTATATTCGTTGTTATTGTTTCGAATCGCGTATTATTATGCTATTTCCTGTTTTCCTCGCGAAGTATTTTCACGATCGCGAAGGTTATTATGCGTTAGGCGTAACGATCTCGTATATCACGTTCTGTTAACTTCGTGAATTAATGTGTCGTTAATATTGACTTATATGCGTGTAGGTGTTAATACGATAGGGTAATTATTGTAAATCATAATAATTAGAAAATAGATATCTAAGCATGAATTATTTGGAAATACGTCGAACGTGTTAACATCAGATTGCCGATGCGTGTCAATTTGACTCATTTACGATTTTATTTGGAAAAAGTAAAATAATTTTTGTTTTTTTTTTTTTAATAAAATTATAAAATCTATATAAATACTAATTCCTTCCCTTCCCCACTCCTTAGTTCCAAAAATTCTTATGCGCTATGCCTATTTCGACGAATGTGAGTCAAATTGACTCATTCTTAAAGTTAGTCGTTTTATACGCATCTAACCTATTTCTTGTGCATAGGAATGAAGCCGAAAATACTTTCACGCCTCTATCCAATATACAAAATATTGAAAAACGATTGAATTGTCAAGTTCAAATATCTTGGAAAAGAAATAGAAGTATAAACGTTTGTGCTAAATGTAATAAAAAAATCTGCGGTAAAATGTATTTTAACGACAGAATATATGTGAGCCGTTTATTTTGAAAGTGGCATAAGTCACTTTTTTAAAAAAACCGAGTTAATGGCAACACTAATTACAACTGAACGGTATTTTTTCATTTTCAATAAAAAAAAAAAAGAAAAAAAGTGACTTATGCCACTTTCAAAATAACCGGCTCATATGTAAAAATTATTTTGAATAAAGTTTTTCTTTAAATAAAATTTCATTTTTTTTGAAAAGAACTTCGATTTGGATGTTTCAATCAAATTGATTCATTTCAGACAAAATAGAGAGATATACATACAACAATCTAATGTTAAATGTTCTTACGAGAATCGATGTTCATTTATCAGCACGGTTATATCGAAATATTTAAACGTTTTCTTAAGGGGTTACATGGGTTTGGGACTTTCAAAAAAATTTTTTTTTTTTATTTTTTTTTTCAATTCTACAACTCATCTAGAATATTGTATTCAATTTGAAGTCGATAGGAGTAGTAGTTTTAAAGATAGAGCCCTAGGAAGTTCCACTCTTTAATGGAACTCTTATACCAGCACTCAAATCTTTAAACGCGTTTTTCTCAAAACGCTTTTTCTAAAGTCGGTTGTCAAGATTTCTCGAAAACTATTTAACTGAKTTTGATGAAATTTGCTACACGTCTTCGTGATACTATTGACAAGGACTTGGACGAAGGATTTTCGTTTTTTTCATAAAATCGAATTTTAAGAAACCAAAATGTGGTGAAAATTGTAGCGAAATTTGAATGTTCTTGATAAAAACGTTGCCAAAAATCCAAATTTTAATTTTTTTCTCTTTCCTTCGTCCAGTTTCTAGTTTTAAGTATTCACTAAAAGACCCTATTTTTTCAACAGAAAAACCCCCACCGTTTATAAGTTCTGCTGTCAACGCGAAAACACTTTTTTCGGTGTGGTCACCGGAAATGACGTTGCAATGGCTGAGTTTAAAATATTTTTCAACCAAAAATTCAGAAAATGTTCTTTAAATATGTATCTTAAATACTATAAAAAGTTTGAATAAGAATTCCATTTTTTATATAGAAAAAAAATTGTTGAAAATATGCTATTTTTTCCCGGTGTAAACCCATGTAACCCCTTAAGTTCCTATACGATTTACAATTTCTTCAAATATCGCTGTACAAACCGGAAATACTTTTGGATGAATCGTTGGAGATGTAAAAACTAAATTGAAAATTCGTATCGAATGATTCACGTTTTTTGGCACGCAAATGAAGTCACATCGCGATTTTCATGATTATTTAACTCGTAATTCTCATTTTGTCTCGAGATACACGGAGACGAGCAATAAGAAGAATATGCGAACGACGATTTAGGTCGTCCTTGTGTTTAATAGATTTTTTTTTATGAGGTCAATTCAATCGTTCGACCTTACGAGATTGTTGCACATATATTTTATTTTTTTCTTATTTTATTATCAAGCAATAATAAGTTATGATTTGCATTTGTATCGAAAGTATTTACAAAAACGTAGAGTACTAATTAGCTTAAATAATCGACAAAGTTTTATTAACGCGATATCTTGACCCTCAAAGTTCATTAATATTTACAGATAAATAATATGTCTGATAAATTGCTCGTATTATTTTTTAGATCATATTCTTTGGAGTTTCGTTTAAATCAGTGGTTGTCAACCTGGTCTCTATCACCCACTAATGGGCGTTCCAGTTTCCTTGACAGGCGGTTGGGATATTGTTCAATACTGAGATATTTTCCTTTTTTTTTTTTATTTAATTGACTCTTTAAAAACATTGAAATAAAATTTTTTTAAATGATACTTTGAAACATTTTCACAGCATTATTTAAAAAATATTTTCATTAAATTTTCAATAAAATTCTTTTGTGTTTATATTTTATTCTGCCAAATTTCAGCGAAGTGTTTGATAATGAGTGACTAATTCATTTTAATTTCGTAGAAATTATTTTTTGTAATTTTAACGTAACAAAAAGTAGAAAAAGAAGAAAAAATGAACTGTAAAATTTTGTTCTATATGTTATCCAAAAGTTGTAGTCAAGCCAATTTATAGCATAAAATCAGTATTCGTTGAACGGTTTTTCAATTTCTGCACGAGATTTAAAATACTCAACAAAATTATCATGAAGACATTTTGTTTATATTTTGAGATAAAAAGAAATAAAGGAGTTTATGGTCGATATAAATTAGTAGAAAGAAACACGAGCAGAGGCTTCTCTCATTTTGATTGTTCTTTGACTTTCTTGGAACTCAGTCAAGGCTCGATTAACCGATGCTACTTTCTTGCGTAAAGTACATTTTGGCACAATCATTTCTAACGCGATCACGTAACAATGCAGAGCTTCCCAATTCAGAAGCACGTGCATTAAGTTTACATAAATTAAGGAATGTGTAAGCGTAATTATTTGTCGACTAGACTTAGAGACAACCCTCGGATTCGACTTTGTTTATTCCATTGCATTGCCAAATTTATATTTATCGTTTCTCTTTTGATGATATTGAATTTTAAAAGATTCTTCTCATCTAAAGTTTTGGATAAACCGATTTTTCTGACGAAGGATATCTAACGAAATTTCTGGATATAAATTTTGACAACAAATTTTCATTATTTTGACTTTGTCGAATGCATTTTTCTCGAAACATGATTTTTCAAATTTACATAATAACAAACAAAAGAATTAAAAAGTCGAAATTTAAAGAAACTAAAATTTATGCTCATTGTTTTGTTCATTGCTAGCCTTAGTCAGGATTAAAATTATAATTATAGCTACACAACTGGGAATTTTAAAATATATAAAAATATTGTACGTTTAGACAAAGTAATAAATTTTGGTATTTTTATTTTGAGCGCGAATTATTAACGTAATTTTTTTTATGTAATTTTAATCCACAGCTGCGATCATACAGTGTAAGGTGGGTTCGAGTTTCACGTTTTAGATTAATGAAACTGGAGACATCACTTACACGAGTCATAGAAATTTATTCAGTGACGTTTCATTGAATGCAGCTGAATGCATTGAATGCAGACACGAAAAAATTCTAAACAACAATTCGTTATTTACATTGACAAAATAATGCACGAAAATATTCTTTTTGTGCTTCATTTGACCCAGAATGATCCCATAAATGAAAATTCCTGTTATTTCTAATAACGACCTTAAGGATTTCGAAGTTGAACGAAATTAAATTCTCGGCATACAATCGATATACTTTAATATTTGTTGCTTAAACAACAACTCACACACATCGTATACATAAATACATTCAATACATCGAATCAACATTTGGTAACATCGTTGTCTGATCAAATTAGATTCCGTTAATTATTAATAATCGCTTTATTTTAATAACCGCTACGCGAAATGTTGATTTGGAATGTTTTAGCTGAAGTGAAAAGTTTCGTTTGGGGTATTTCATGTCGTTCGCAATGATTTTTAAAAATAACATTTCGTTCGAAATAAAGAATAGATTTGTTTTTAATTTCTTTCTTATCTTTGTTTTTTCTTTTTTTTTTTTATTTGTTAAAATATATTTTA